AACACGCAATGTAAAAAGTCCGTTGCTAGTCGGGGATCCTCGAGAAGGATTTACATGTCACCGATGATTTGTGCGGCGAATTAATTCAAGCTCATCGGAATCTTCGGTAAAATTTCCTTAGAAGCCGGTTCCGCGTTTTACGGAGGCGACGAGAGGCATGACTGATCGCCGGCCCGGAGTGTCATTTTATCTCTGCATAGCACGCCGGTAGACTTTGACTAACGATATTGCCGCAACAACTTATTTGTTATCGGGATTGCCTATTACTTACCGTATTGGACAATATGTCTGCCGTCTCTCGCCGCTATCGCCGTTACGCCGCGGAAGCACGAACTTCTCCTAAGGCTTCCGATCGATTATTGCCGGCGATATTTGTCCCGGCGGGAATGATTCAGCTCGCGTTACCGGGCGACCTGAAATTTCCTCGCCGACATCATCGCGACCGATGTACCCCTTAATCGTTCAAACGGTCGGCGAGCGGAGGCGAAAAACGTAGGGAATTACGGAAGGAGAACGCAACGGTTTGCTCTCCGTTCCCTCGACCGTGCGGAAATTTTACGCCCCATGCTCGGGACGCTGCGCGCAACAAGATAATGGAAACTTCTGCGTGCTCGTTTTCTTCCCGTTTCTTGTTCTTCCGCTGGAGAATTGTGTTACCGCCTTCTCCCTTGTCCCCGTAACTCTATATGTAATTCTGAAGAACCGTGTCGTGTAATTACTTCGAGGGAGAAGAGCACAATTGCGCGGCCGTGTAAATTTGACGTGGAAAGAGGAAGCTAACAGTGATTAAAAGAGGATCTTCTGTTCCGAAGCTCTTCGTATTTGCGAGGAATCGTTGAATTTCAACCTCTTGCGCCGGAATGCTCTAGAATGTTTTGAAATGTGTCATTCTGTACAAAATTATTAAACATAGGTGAAAACAGAATTCTTCGAGACTATACCGAAACTCATCATTTCCAGCGTGAGAAATTAAATTAAACCAGTGAAGAATGGGAACGACCATTAATGATGGTTAACAATTAGAAGTACCCAAGATTCAGAGAAAATTAAATATATGAAAGTTATGAATAATCAGAAATAATATAGAGCTGAGAAGTAGGAATAGCTATCAGGTGTCGCCAGAAATTAGAGTGCTCGGTAAGCAACATTTCAGGACCAATCTGCGAACACCGCGACATAGAGGCAGCGATTAGATAATACTGGAGCGAAGCGTCAGAGTAAGACGGAATACACGCAAGATCGAATTGTTGGGGAAGGTTTATTTCAGTATACCGGGGACAGAGAATGGCTGTGATTAATTTGATCGTTTGTTTCGCGTCACGTACACGCGCGCGCCCGCGCACTAGTGCGCGTCGATCGTACGCATAAATATGCGCATGAACAAACATCGGTCCGCTTTAATTGAAAGGCGAAATGCGTGTACCGGGCTCCGAAGATATTAATTAGCTTTCAGAGTTAATCGCATCCTCCATGATGCCTGCGGCCTCCGCAGAGTCTACACAATTTCACGCGGTGCCATTTGGGCCTCGTGTGTACCCGGGCTACGATCGACCGATGATCTGTTAGTCGGATCTTCGTGTTTGATCGTTTCGACAGTTAGAACAACGTATTAAATAAATATCTAATCAACGTAATCCGAATATTATTGATCAACTAACCTCGCTCCAGTATTCCTCGCTAAATCCTTCAATCGCGTGGCAGACTTCCATTTTCAAATCTAAAAATTCAGGACATTAATACTGGAACTGTCGAACAGTAAAATTCTGTTTCGTTAGAAAATTAATTATAATATAAGCTAACTGAAATCTCGATAAATATACTTTTATCAATTTTAATTTGGCTTGGTGTCAATCAATCTATCGAATAATCTCTCAGAAAATTTTGTTTCTTCTCAATAATTGCTAGAAGACCCGCCATTTTATTAGAGTGTTAAAATACTTTTCCCTTCAATCTAGTGCCATCCTTATTCAACGTGTTTCCCGAAACCCGTAATCCTCGTGCTCTATTAAAGTCAGAGATTCGCCGATCGCGAGTCTCCGTTCCACGCAACGGCGGCCGGCAGTGATTACTTTGATTCAGGATTGTGAACCGACCAGTGCGCGGCTCGTTAACCAATCCGAGGAGTCCTGGTCCACGCTGATTCGAAATAAGTGATACTCCTGCGCGCGACAATTGACCGTGATTCGTTGAAATGATCCTTTTGAATCAAGCTCGTTACGCAGCGGCCGCGGCAAGTGTCGCGTGCGTGTGCCTCCGAATAAAATCAATGTACGGAATTTATTGACGTTCGACTCGAACGGCCGGCCGTGGACACGTGTCATTCCGGCCCACTCGATCGCGCTTAATTGCTTGTTAATTTCATGGGACATTTATAGAGAGAGCCCGCCGCGCTATCCGCGATAGATTCCAATACTTACCGCGATATTTTCACCGTTCCCTGGCAATAATTGCCTGCACTCGGCTTAATTATTCCATTCCGCAACGCATTCCGAATCCCTTCATCTCCCATTAACGCTGATCACGAAAAATACACTGAACAAATTTACATGAGTCTCCTCTTAACTCCTATCTCTAAAATCTCGAATCGCCTAGAAACTAGAAACAATTCCTAACATACGAAACTAATCCTAACGAGCTTCCTTTATTTTCATCGACAAATATCTGAAATCTCTGTCTGTTACCTTCTCCCTCTCGCTCTTCCCTCGCAGAACAAATATTATCTAAAGCAAACCTCGCGTATTTACCGGTCTCGCGCGATCGATGAAATCCCGTGAAAAATAGCCGCCAGTTTTCTGCTAACCGCGAAAGTCCAACGTGCACATGCACGCTCACGTACACGGACACGTGCATACCGACGCGCACGTGCATTTTTTCCCCCGAGCCGGCGCCCTGTTCATCTCGTCCGCGGATTTGTCGTCGGTCTGCGCGGAGGTGCGCAATTAATCCATAAAATAGGTATTCGTTGTGCGACGCATGTTCAACAGCAATTTCATCGCGCAATCTCTCTCCCTCTCTTTCTCTCCCTCTCTCTCTCTCCGTTCCACAGGATATTAATACTTTTTCTCCGTTCCCATGAAACGACCACGCGGCCGCGCACGAGGAAACGCGACACGGCCACATTTATTCAAAACACCGGGACCGTCGGTTTCGTTCGCGTGTCCCGCGAGGTATGGCCCGCTCTTAAATTTCCCGCGGCGGAAGATATACGCGGGAGCTGCGGGCCAATGACTGTTCCCAATGACAGCATGAATAATTCGCCGGCAGGCGTGCGGTCGAAAAAAGCCCGCGGGGTTGATTAAACGGGCCGGCGAATTAAATCAGAGGGAAAATATTAGGTTCGCGCATACCAAATGTTTTCCCCGCGCGTTGAATTTTGTTAAGCGGGAACGATATTCAATTATTCATTCCGCCGCATTACACTCGAGAGAAAGAGGAGCCTCGTTAAATGCGCCGGCCGAAACAAAAAAAGCGAATGGCTGAATTTTCGGTTCTTTTGTAACGGCCGTTGCGGAGCTTGAGAGATTTCAGAGGTCGGTGGGTCGAGCTTTTTGTGGACGATTTGCGTTCGATGTTGTGCTCGTAGGTAATTCACTTTGAATTCGGGAGAGTACGGAGTGCTCTGAGATTGTTAATCGTTGTAGAAGGTATTGTGCAATTAATACTAGAACTACTGGAATAATTGAAATGACTGGTTTCGGTACTTTTCTTTCGCAATTATTGTTGTCTACGCGTTTTCTATTCGAAAATCTTATAGGGAAACCCGTACGTCGCACGCCGACTTAACTTTGTGCGAACTGTTTGGAAAGTGGACTGTATCTAATTACTTCAGTGAAGAATACTTTAGTGTTTATTTTTGCTTAGTTCAATAATAATCGTCAGTGGCGAGAGTATACAACGACGTCTATGTTCCGTCTTGTGTCTTATTCAAAATTTTTCTTGTGTCTCTCCTCGGTACCTTGCGTGGGTTTTTATAAACCTTTTTTGGTAGGGGAGTACAAACTTTGTCCGAGTGGGACTCAATCGGTGATCCTGGAGGGGGTTGCCGATTGCAGCCCCTGGGTGACCCACGCAAGGGTCTTGAACGTTCTTGACACTGACCATAGCGAGTAATAAAACCAAGGATCGCCTCGACTTCTGGCAAACAGATGTAAGTTAAAGTTACGGTAAATCTACAAAACTGGCAAAACGTGCCGAAGCAAATACGACTAAATTATTGAAGTAATGGTTCCTTGGGCCTTTATTTCTGCTATGGTAAAAAATATTCAGGGCTCCAATGTGCCTCGCAGAAGGTGTCATCAATAACCCTCCTAAAGAAATTTGGCGACGCAACAATTATTGATATTTTCACACTAAATATTCGAAATTTTGAAAATAGATTTGCTTCGATACTAATTACAATGTTTATAGGGATCACATATCAATCCTATTGAATGTTGGGTAGTTCTAGTGTGACAGTATAATTGGGAAACGTGAATTAACACTAGGTTTACGGAACGCGTCAATTTGACTGAATTTTATAAACATTATTTGGTAAATGTTTCAATCGGTTCTCGTTGATCCAATTACACGATTACGAATCCTGATTGTCTATTTCTACATCTACAATTTCCAAAATCCAAATGAACGAATATCAACTTCCCCAGGAACGATAGAACAAACTGTACAATAAATGCCCGTAAACCTAGTGTTAAGATTGATTACAGACAGTGACGTTTCCTATCATCTAAATCGACACTATCTATTAGAAGCATTTCGTAAACAACGTAATCATTCAACTGTTACCATCAATTACTCGTGTATCTGAAGTGTCCTTCAAACTTCCCAAACGAAACGGCAAAACAAAATTCTATAATCACAAAAATCCGTGAAAAGAAGGTATACCAACCTGCGAATCTCGTTGCAGGGGAAAATTTCCCGGGGAGCGCTTAATAAACTCGGGTACAGCGGTCAGGTCGTGCATTGAACACCACGCCGAATATCGTCCCTCCGATTTTATTACATTTTTTTTTCTCGTATTAAACGCGAAACAATTTTTGCGCGGCCCGCGCGCGATTCGCGCGACCGTCGGTCAATTTTTATGGTAATAGAGGCGAACGAGGTCAAAGCGTGAGCTCGTTATCCGGCGCATCAATAAAATCCGACAGACGGTCGCCGGGGCAAATTAAAAATTTCCTCCCGTAACGTTATTCGCCCCGTCGCGGGCGGGACGCGCGGGAAACGTTAGCGCCGCGCTCGATAATATATCGAAGCGGCCGCGTGTAATTCGCCTAGAAACATGTCGATTTGTACTATCTGGCCGGCGGATATTTCGAAACGGACAAGTGCACCGGATAGTCTCTCCCGTCGCAGAAAATCGATTATCAATATTCTTCCCTCCGTTCGCGCCACAATCGAATCGTAAACCTCGCCGGTCGTTTCTGCCGGCTCGGTTATCAATATTCTACTTGAAACGACGCCTTTTATCGGACCGATTCCAGCTCGTCGAAAGCGAGCCGCTCGACTACGGTCGCGGCGTTCCGTTGCTTCCCTAGTCCTCGACGCGCGCGCGGTTAAACGTAAAAACGAAAAAAGCTACATAACAATTATTCTACACAGCGTACATACGTATCCGACATCATTGGGACATCGAAAAGCTCGTCGATGCGTCCTCTAAACCGTCTGATCCGATTCCACATTCGTTCTCCCGTTCAAGGAGATCCGATTCGATGTATCGCCACCGCCGAGCCTACAAATCTAACAGGCCCATCTCCGCCCACTTAGGCAGCCTCTTCAAGATCAGCTTCTTGTACAGTTTGCCCTTGTAAGCGGGATTGTTGTACTCCCCGTTCTCTTGTTGTATCTCGTCGATCTGCAGCACCTCGGATTTATCCACCATGACGAGCGGCAGCACGGTGATCGACGATATCAGCGAGTACACCGCCCGATCCTTCATGTACTTCTTGATTTCCTCCAGAGTGGGCGGCTGCGTCTTGCAGTCCAACTGTTTCATCAGTTTCGCCAGGGCCTCCACGTATTCGAGCAGCAGCGATTCCATATGGTTATCGTAAACTTCCTGCGACGTGCTGGTCGAGAGGAAGTAGTGCAGATCGATCGCCGGCGAACTGTAAACGCACAGTTGGAAATCCACCTGGAACGTAAATCGAAGCTCGATCGATCGGCGCGCGGCACGGAATTGAATTGTAAATGAAATCGGCCGGCCCCGGCGAGGAGGGAAAGAACCGGGATTCGTGTTTAGGAAGTCGTCGGGTGTGGAGGGTTTGCTTGCTTGCTTGTCTGATGCTTCCTCGCTCACCCTATTTCCCTCTCCGGCCGGCTTCCCTCTCTGTCTCCGTTTTTCTCTTTCACGCTCGCTCTACCTTTCGCTCTACGCCGTGATTCGTCGTTCCCCGGTCTTTACAACTGCCGACTGACAGGTGGGGAATGTACCTAAACGCGATCGAATCGGATTTATTGCATTATTCATAGCGCGCGACGCTCCGAGCAGTCGAAACTCTCCTTTTTCACGCGGCTCTTTCTCTTCCCACCGTTACACCGAACCATTTCACGGGGATTGATATAAACGTTCGGCTTCGTGGCGACGGTCCAAGGGTCTATTAATCCGGGCTTTCGCGTTTTCGAATTTTTATCGGGATTTCCGATGGCTTAGCCCGCGATGAGAAGGAGATTGTAGTGGTTAAATGTGCTGGATGAGATATAGGGTTCTTTGAGTTTGCCGTGAAGGACTTCGCTGCTTCGCCTCCCATTGCGGTATATGGTTCGTGAGTAAGGTGATCTTTATGGTTTCGTTAACCTCTTGTCTTACGATTCAATTGCATGAGTGCGTTCAAGTATTTATCGTTAATAATGCAATAGTAGAAGGAAACATCCCATGCTCTTTCTATGTCTAGATATAAATACAAATTGCTAACGGGAATAATGTTTCATATAAACTTAACACAACTCAATGACATTTATGTTTACACTAGAACTAACTTTTATAATCCCTATAAAAATTGTAATAATTGATTATTATCAGTTCCTTCAGACATTCATTAGAGTATTCAAGTGAAACTATTTACTTTCAAGATCATTTCGAATGTTCAATGCTTTAAGATATCAATAATTACGAAATAAAAACGTTGAAACTCATTTTGACTGGTACGTAGTTCTAGTGTTAAACCATATTAGAAATCATCGCCTGATATTGTAAGGCAAGGGGTTAAGCATTATGATTCGAAGTCAATGCAGTTAAGCCCAGAAAAGAAACATTGAGGAAACTAATGTGTTGACTTCTGAAATGATTATGTAACATATTCAGAAGCTATCTGATGTAGAAACGAAGAACCAAGGGAATCCTTCAATGACTAAACAATCATAACACATCAAGAAATCGATTCAACCGCATTGACTTCTGACTCACGCGAATGAACACTTACGAAAATGTGTTGAATAGGCTTCGAGTTCTCATCGTATTTGAACAACATATTGTTCACCCAACTGTCGCCGTGATTGATCACGTTGAACTCATCGTCCTTCCGCTCTGCCGCCTTTATACCAATGGAATAAACCCTAGATGCCATGTTCTTGAACTTCTCCGCGTATCTGAGAGTGCAAGAAACGTATTTAACGACTGCCGATTGGTTAACACTTTGCCGGTCGCACATTTATCGCAAAAGACAGTTTCAAACTAACAGAAGAAGCATCAGCTTAAAAGACTCGAACAAAAGACGATCTGGTAAATTGGGAAGGGAGAACAGTGGAAGCAATTGTTTCTCTAAAAAATAGCATCAATATGTATTCCTATACAAGCATCGGAATGATAATCACGTGTACGTGGCAGCGGCCGGCAAAGTGTTAACATACTTTTACCATCGTTCGACTTACACTTCCGCGTTTTCGAGATCCGTCCACGTCGCTACCTCTTCCGCCAACGCTTTGCAACCGTTGATGAAGAACATGCATATATCCTCCGGGAAGTCCTCGTTGAAGATACCCTTCCTGTATATCGTTTTGTGCTTCGGTTCCTGCAATCATTTGAGAATCGTGTTCGCCGAGCAACTGAAAAATCGCAATCGACTGACGGCTACTTTCTCGAGGGTCATTTCTTGGGCCACCTTCGGCCAACTCAGGAATTCCGTGCAGTAACTCCTGTGTCTAGGAGGTATTAGAATTTTCGGATTATCTTGGCTTAACTTGGGGATTAGGGTGATCAGCTCCTGGCCTTGGTTAGGTTCTGGAGACTTGGTTCAACTAGTCTCGAAGTTTCACTAGTCTCGGCTAAAAATTGAAGCCGGAATGAAACTTAGTGGTTTCGAACTTTCATGTTGCCCAAAAATTCATCCGAAATGTTGTTTTTAACATGAAATTCAAGCTCGTATTGAAATAAATTTAAATCAAATGTCAGCAAGAGTTCTTCTCGAGATCAGTTTAGAAAGGGTACGAAATTGATCTCAAATTAAAGCTCGTCGTATTAAAATGAATGTAAATCAGACGTCAGCAAGAACTTTTCTCGAGATCAGTTTAGAAAGAGTACAAAACTTCTCTCGCGAGCGAGTCAGGTCAGGTAAAGGCAATTTCTCTGAGACTCAGTTTGGAATCTGGGAAGTACTTTAACCCATAAGAACATTCGGACTGCGATTGCGAGTTGCCACGGTGGCCTGTGTTTAGCAACTGAAAAATTCATCAACGACGCTCACCTTTTCGCACAAAGCGACCGAGCTGGCGTGAAACTTGGCCAATCCCCGAACAGCCAGCATGGAGTGTACCAGGTCAAGACCGGCCTGTCGGTCGGCCATGCGGAACCCTAGAGGTGCTAGGTCCTCCATTATTAAGCACAGCGGACGTTCCATCCGCACGTGGTAGATTTGGGTGCTGAGGCGGTTCTCGTAACCCAGCATTTTGTTCATCTTCTTCAGCGTATCCGTCATCATTAAGATCTCTGTGTCGAATATCTGCGACTTCTCGATCTGGCATAACATTAGAGAAACGTCTGGTTAATTCAAATTCGGAACAGGAATGATGTTGACCCTTAACCAGTTAACTGAGGAATTTAGTTGGAAAAACCTTTCGTTCTGCGCGCAATGAAATAAAAAAATGGAGCGTGTAGCGGAACAAAGAATTACATGTTTATGTGAAAGAATAAAGAATTCATCGCTGAAAGAATTAGTATCATGTCAAGCTTCGCGATGGCGCGTATGCTGGTCAAACACAGTTAACCCTTTGCACTCGGAAGTATTTCGTTAGAAATATTTAACATTTTCCAACTAAATACAGACGATATTTTTTAAGTTAACTCAAAGAGAAATTGCAAGTGAATTGAGGAACAAAGCTTTTTATCCCAATATTGCACACATATGCATTATATACAGTTGAATATTGAATACCAAATTTTATAGTTTCACTACGTGAAATCAAGTTCAAATCAAAGGATTAACTGATTAACAGAAGTACTTCAAGTCAACTTGCGGAGAAACACCGTAACATAGATAGCAAGCGGAAAGAGATTCCCAGAAATGACCTATATCAATATATAACGTATTCATTGTAGATATTCCAACAGTAATATTATAAATAATCATAAAATGATTTCTCCCGTAAGCATTGGATCTTCTAAGAAAAAGCTAACTCGAAGCAAGAGATAAAAAACACTCCGCGAACGATAGATACAAACGTCCCATTATCAACCGTCTACTTAACCCTTCAAAAATTCTTTCCTAACACTTGCGAAAAACTGAAAAGTTAAATTTCTCTCAAACAAAAACGAACGTTGAAAGGCTCACCATATCCCTGCGCGGCCCTTCCACCAGCGGCTCGAATTTGAAGATCAGCGACTTCTTCTCGTTGACCTTTTTACCCCCCTGTTTCCGCGTGAACTCGACGGTGGCCCTTATCATATCGCTGGCGTAGTTGTCGCCCTTGTCGGTCGCCGGTTTCACAAATACATCGATCACCTGCAGCGTGCTGTCGTCCTCCGACAGGCGCAGTATCCTCTCGGTGAAGTCGAGGTTCAGCCATGACGGTGTCCCCAGGGCCATTTCTGAAATTGGAATTGGAATTGGAGAATTTCCCCGACAAATCATTGTTCTTCTCGGCGCGTCAGCCAACGCGGAAACGATTCTTTACGGTAACTTATTGTTCGCGGCGAGATTTATCACGCTTTCACCCCCGCGATCCCTCCCCCGCTCGCCGCCTCGTCTTTTCTTTCTTCCGCCGCGAAGGCTTTCCGAGGCCCTTGCCCTCGCCCCCGTTTCCCGCCCCGCTCGACTCCGTTAAGACTGCCCCATCCGTCGAGCTTCGATATTCACCGGAAGCGTTTCCCGCGTTTCCGACGTCGCCGTTTCAATTAGAAACGGTAATGGAACGCGGATGACCCTCTCCCCGGGTCCCTTCCCCTATGGCGCGGCACCTTCTGTCCATGGACACGCTCCCGTCGATATTTTAAGGGAATTCGGAACGTGCCCCGCGGGAACTGATCACCGGACTGCGAATGTTCGCGCAGTTAGCGCGTACGTGAGGAGCGTAATGAAACGCGGGGCGCAATTAAACGCGGCGGTCCCGGTTTAATGTTAATTCTTCGGTATTCGGCGAGACGGCTCGTCGATACCGTCAATTAGTAAACACTCGAGTATTTATAAAACGTCGGCGCTCAAATATTCATTGTTTTTATCGTGCAAATATTTCTGATATTTCAACGTTCGAGTGTTCGTGACGTTTCAATGTTTCGAAACAGTTGTTTCATCCGTTTTATTGTCTTCGAAATTGCCGCTGATGGATTATTCCCTTTCTGTTTCGTCGGAGGAATGATTATTCTCGAGACGGTAAATCCGTTGGAATCGTTAGAGGACCAAATAAATCGCTAGATTACGCCGTAAATTACACCGAAGCAATTTTGCCTCACACAAAGGACCGCATTCTGCTGATCACGTACCAGTAGAGCAGAAATCACGGTAGAACTTTACGGCCGCGGCCAGAATGTTCGCGGATACTCGGCGAGCGAAGCACACGGAACCTTCTTTGCTACCGCGTTCATAGATATAATTCATTGTTGTGCAAGACCGTTCAATAATCAGTAACGGTTACGCAGCCGGCGTGTGGAAGATAATTGCGGAAAAATACGTTTCGTCGTCGAACGATGAACGCAGCAGTTCGTGACGCTGTCACTTGTTATAACACTGTTTCGCGTGTTTACGCCGTCGTCGGTGAAAGATTTATTCCCGATTCGATTGCAGAATATTAATTATGTACACGGAGATATCTGTAAAGAAACCGAGGCAGAGATAAAGAAGAATTTCCACGTTTCGACGAGACTTATATAATAATCCTGCGTTCAACGGAGGATCGAAGGATTAATTAAATCACGTCCGTGCGATCGAAGATCCGTATCGGTGAAACTTTTAATTCCTACGGAACAGCCGTTAGCATTGAATCCCGTATTATCTGATTTCAACAGGATTATGATACGATCATAGTTCATACTTCCTCGAGCATTTGTTTACCGCGTGAATATTCATATCCACGATTATTCCTTGTAATTTCGAGGCTTCAACGCTTTCTCGATTACACAGCGGTGTATAATTCACGGAATAGAACGGCACCGACAACAAATACACAGATCAACTGAAATTTAATTGAATTCCCGCGTTCGTCACTCGAATCGCTGCCGCAGATCAAAATACAGTAGTACACTGATTTTCCGCCGATCGCGGGCGATAAATCAAATTTTGCTGTTTAGACAGAACGCATGTACCGGCAGATAAGGCCGGCTCGTTCCCATAAATTGGAACAATAATATTTCAGCTGGACTTATGCGCGGTGAATAATGCTCCTATTCGTTGAATTTGTTTCGAAAACTTCGTCGCCGGTCACGCTCGACGCTTGAAAACGCCGGTGAAGAGTTTCCAATTCATTCACGCTCTTCGAGATATCCCTTTTACTTCGAATAATCAAATTATCCGTCTTAACGAACCGTAAACGTAAACGGCCGCGTTTCGATTATCGGCGCGAAAATTGATTCTACGCGGCAGTTCGCGAAATTAGTTCGCTCGAGGTCATTAAACGGCCTCTCCTTATCGCGTGCCGGTCACTGGGAACGCGATACAGCGAGACCGTTGCGTGGATGCGAGAAAGAATCGGGGACAAATGATTTTTCCGGCTATAATTAGACTGTCGAACCTACATCGGCGTTCCCGGGTGCTGTCAAACAATTTTTCGCATTATCGCTAATTGCCGCGCGGACGGCCCCCGGCCGGATGCGCCGCGGGGGCGCGGGGCTTAATGATTTGACAAATCGGCCCCGGCGAGATTAATGATTCCGTTTATTTCGGCGCGGACGGATCCGTGACGCGGCTTGATGCATGGCCGTTTTATGCGTGCCGGGAGGTAATGGCAGCGCGCGCCGCGGGACCGAGCGGAAAACGAGTTATCGCCTTCTTAACACTCCCGTTGCTAGGGAAATCTCATTTCCCCGGGATTCGGCTTCGTTATCGAGCATTATTCCCGCGATCCGTTTGTCGGGAAATAAAAAGCGGCCTCGCCGGATGCAGTATTCCATTTTCCACGATTTCACGGATGACAACCGCTCGCGAGGACGGATTTCATACACTATTATCCGAGATGCGCGAGAATTGGAAGATCATTTTCGAAATCTCGATTCTTCCGTACCTTCGGGAACGTTTGCAGGTTGTTTCCTGGAACAGTTATTAACGACAAATTCAACCGCGGTGAAATAGAGAGCAATATTCGACGGAAATGTCGCAACCGAGTTCCTCGAAGAATTAACGAGGCTACGTCAACAGCGGAGAAAGCGTCGGCGCGCGTTGGCCGGCGGCGTTAACGACGATTTTATGTAATTCCGCTGCCACTCGGAGGAACACGCGCGAAAGGTTCACTCGATCGGCTCGATGGCGGTTTCGAGGACGTTATTTCACGGCGCATCTCTCCTGTTCGCCGCGGCGGAGCTCGTTTCTCGCGTCACTCGCGCGAAGCGTCGTTCACCGCGAAATATTCTCGTCACTTCCTCGAAACTTGTCAGCCTCGACGGGCGCACAGGCGTCGTCCACGCGGAAAAGCGGCATAGCAGTGGCGCGATCGACGGGCTGGGAAGGGTCGTTTCAATCCCGTGTCTCGGTTTACAATCGAATTTTTTCGTCAGACCGATCGACCGGTAATGGTCCACTTTGAACACACGCGCCGGGTGCAGTACAGGCCGATGAACCGTGTCTCGTTATCGACGTCACTGACCTGCGAATAGGATTCGTGGATCGTCTACCTAATGGATCACTTCACTCTGCCTCTGTGGACTTGTGATACGGAGTGTGCCGGGCAGAATCGAAGTGTGACGTTCCATACGGAGGCCGGCCATTATTTATACTCTAACGAGAATCCCCCAGACCGCAGACGTCATCTTATCGTCAACACTCGACGGATAACAATCGTTCGGAACTATTCTTCATTTTCGTACTCGTCCGGGTCCCACGCGCCTCCCCCACCTAACAATCGTTTTCCGTGCGTGCCACTTACGGACACTTGCTCGCCACAGACAACGATCTACTTTCTTCTGGCAATCAGCGCTCGATCTTTCGTGTCATCTTCGAGATTCTTGTTTCCTGTTCAACGTGATTTTCTAGGTGAAGTGGAAAGAGAAGGATGATGGAATGGTAAACGGAGGCATATTGTTGAGTGATCGGCTGTGCATATTTTTGCATTCACGAAGGTGACTCGATTGAGCATTACAAGGTAGAGTCTACCTTGTGCATTGGAATCTTTATGGTGCTGGTTTTCAGAATGTTATAATTCTTGCATCGCGTTGGTATTTATACATTGAGAAATAGGACGAAGCTCTGAAAAACCAGACCTGGAACCGACTCAGACAGGTCAAAGGTGAAATAGGTCGATCTAAAATGTTTGTCAAAGTTTAATGAGATTCCTACCCCGCTCGGAGGCTGGTGGTATCTTTAACGAAAGTTCAGTTTAATTCTGGACATTGTAAATTACGAAATAGGCACGTGTCGCGTGAGCGTCCGCGGTCCGACGACAATTACAAGTTTCCGGTCGATTCGTACGGGCGCTCGCAGGAGGAATAACTTTTATACCGCGAACATCGCCGGACTGCCGGTCTTACTCTAAATTTAACGAGGACGCGGGGCTTTCTCTGAGCTCCGCGAAATTATCTTCGAGGCTTGCTGCGATTTTTCCGGATTATGAGTTCGCGAACTTTGCCTTCGGCTCGAGGACTTCGCAGAATTCGCAGCTGCGAAGTTTCCGACTAAACCGAATCGCGGAGGTGGATACAGAAGACTCGTTATGCGAGTTCAATATTATTCGTCGTAACGAACGCGAAACTGGACAAGAAACTACTGTTTCAGCTCGATTGAAAAATGGTCTGACATCAATCAAGCCTCGATTCTCAATCATATCCCAATTATATCTCAATCAGCTTTAATCTTTGAACAGAACGTATCGTTTAGCTACCATTCCATCATTGCCACTCCTTAAAAAATGTCCCTCGTCTATAAGTGCCACAGAAGCGAAGGAAAACGAGTCAAAGAACGACAAAGCAATGAAACGCCCGGTCCTTCGTGGAACAAGATAGTTGCCTTAAACCGCGTGAATTGCACAAACGGCCTTAACACGTTGCAACGAAAACCTTCAGTTTTATGTATCACTTATTTTCTTAAAGAGGAACGATAGTCATACTATCATCTACTTATTCTAATTAAATTACAATAGCTTCCAAATCATTCGGAAGCTCCATTAATCACTGACTATGCCAGTCAACGTATTAACACACAACCGAGTTCAACTGACTTATCGAAATGTCGAAACTCCGAGAGAAGCATCTATTCAGGACTGTACAATTTACGTATCGCTAAATCAATTTCTTTAGTCACTTCTCAGGGAAACCTCTGTTATCATCTCAATAATCGCAGAAACGAGACATCTGGAATCATTTTGACCCGTCCGGTTAGTGTTAATAAACTACTCGGCGCCTATTTAGCGGTATCGGCGAACAAACGACATGCTATCGACTACCGCTTCGATCGACCGATCGAAGAATGGCCCGGGAATGGCACGTGTCGCGACAGCATCCCGGCGACTGTCAGCTCCGCTGTCAGTTCACTTTATTTCCGTAATTTATGCAGCCGACGCTCGGCAGTCAGCGCAGCGCTCGGCGTCCCGACGGTTTACCCCGCGATCCGCGGTGCAGTTTTGTTGTGAAACGAGTGTTGCGAAATGACATTGGAATTCAGTGCACTGAATTTCAATGCGCCGGCCGCTAGTCACCGGCGCACGATGCGCGCGTATGTCATCAGAATATTGTAATGCGCGGGGATCGTTCGCGGTTACAGCGTATTGTTTCCTCAGCGCTGTTGGATCGGCGTGCGACCGAGTTAATTCACGAGGCGGCGCACCGAAAAATCCAGTCCATTCAGCCGGCAAAAGTGACTCTCGCTGAAATGACGATCATGGACTCGCGGAAGCTCGCGCCGGGAATCGCTAATGAACATCTGTCGAACGTCACGTCAACAGAATCGGCCGAGTCATGCAAAGATTCTTGCAAATAAACGATGACAGCCAATGAGCATGTCTATCATCTAATATTCTAATGAATCACGTTAACGATGCCACCCACGTTTCCGATTGTAAGTGAATCTTGTTTGAAAAACAATCACATTGTACTCCTTATAAGTGGAATGGGACAATAACAAGACGTTCGAATTCATCTGAATAAATCTGTACCAGTTCCATTGCACGCCAGCGAAACATTAGTATTCCGAAATACTAAATGACGTATATAAAACCTACAAAAAGTCATCATAGAAAATAGAATTACAATCTCCATTGCATAAAACACTCCTGAATATCACGTTTCAAACAGCAGGCGCTCAAACAAGAGAACCAGTAATGAATTCATGCTCTCAACACTAAGTTTACGGAACGCGTCAAATCGACGCATATTGGATTTTAGAAATATTATTTTGTAAATGTTTACAATTTCGATTGATGCGATCACATTGACATGTACCCCAATTACCCACTATCAAATCTCCAGTTTCCAGAATCTAAATAAACGAGCATCAATTATTTAGGAATAATAGAATGAAGTGTACAATAAATGCCCGTAAACCTAGTGTTAATTAAATAATAGTAGCAAGCTACAGCAACTAGGAATCTCTACGAATATGGAAACTCCAAAGGTGTCTACCGAGACTTCAAGCGATCTACAACTTTGCTAAGCAATATCTTCTGTCATTTCTCTGAGAAACCTGTGGAATTTTTAATAATTGCGGAAGAAATCAGGAATGCATTTTAACTCTTCTGGTATTTTGAATATTAACACTAGGTTTACGGACCGCGTCAAATTGACGGATATTGGATTTTAGAAATATTATTTTATAAATGTTTACGATTTCGATTGACGCGATCACACTGACATGTACCCCAATTGCCTACTATCCAATCTCCAGTTTCCACGATCTAAATAAACGAGCATCAATTCTTTTAGGAATAATAGAATGAAGTGTACAATAAATGCCCTAGCGTTAAAAATGCATTCACCATAACTTCACATATCATTCGAACGGAGCACGCGGTCGACGCTCGATGGAATCGAGGCCTGGCGGCGTCGACGGCTCCGAGCGGTCGGTTCTACGAGTGACCGGCTCGCGTCAAAGAATGTACGCGCCGCTCGGCGGCCGCTAATCATCGCCACGCCGGTGATTAACGCTGACCACCGGGTGCCGCGGCGCGCCGGCTCGCTCGCTCACGCGAACTTGAAGCGTTTACGTAACCAGGGCCGGCACTCTCCAGGCTCCGCCGGCCGAAGGAGCTCAATTGAAGTTATTATGAGACCCCCCGCTCCCCGAGCGCCGCGGCGGACCCTGTAATCAGCAGAAGTTCGCTGCGGCGCGTGTGCTAGTCACTGTCCACTATCATCGTTGTACTCGAGGTGTTCCGCGCGGTTTCGTAACCGTGAACGCCCGCGGACAGCGCCGCCGAAGGCCTTTCCTCCGAAGGAAGCCTGAACCGAGTAACAGGAACACGGTGAACCTGTTCCGCGATGATCGATGCCAGCGGAATGATTACGCACAGCCCGCGTTTCCTCGTGATGCACGCCTGTGTGCGAGAACCTTGGTGTTTTTCTGGATCACTCGTGTTTTCTGGAGATCATTCCGCTGACTGGCGGCAGCCTTTCAAGGAATTATCGCAGGAATTTTTCATTTGTTTCCTGCAGGTCGCATTTATTTTATCGTTGATGATCGATGCCAGCGGAATGATTACGCACAGCCCGCGTTTCCTCGTGATGCACGCCTGTGCGAGAACCTTGGTGTTTTTCTGGATCACTCGTGTTTTCTGGAGATCATTCCGCTGACTGGCGGCAGCCTTTCAAGGAATTATCGCAGGAATTTTTCATTTGTTTCCTGCAGGTCGCATTTATTTTACCGTTGATGATCGATGCCAGCGGAATGATTACGCACAGCCCGCGTTTCCTCGTGATGCACGCCTGTGTGAGAACCTTGGTGTTTTTCTGGATCATTCGTGTTTTCTAGAGATCATTCCGTTGCTGGGCGACAGCCTTTCACGGAATTGTCGGAGGAATTCTTTCGCGCTTCCTGGAGGTCGCGTTTATTTCATCGTTGATTGGTGGATGAGTTTTATGGAACTGTTGATTGGAAGCACCGATATGAGAGCTTACTTTCGCGCAATGTTTTGCAATTGATAAGGGTTGAGTTGGTCTTGTATGTAATGACTGGTAACATCTGTAGGTAGATCGTTTTATCTTGATCAAACGAGAACACACGGATTTTTTGATATTGGGCTTGATATTGCATACTGCTGCGCGATAAGGCAGATGGAAGATAAAGGTTTTCCCTGCGATTACAACGAGGGCACGCAATTCGTCGCAATAGAGCATGCGTAATCCCGCGTACTGTAGTTGCGGTGTTGTGTTATTGAGTTTTGTGCTCGGTGAATTGCGTTGAGACCGGTTGATTTCTATCTGTTCCTAGGAACAGAGCGATGCAGAATATAGAGTGATAATTGAGATCGTGCTGTGCGTAACCTTCATTGACTTCCAGTAGCGGCATCATTGAAAACGCTCGCTTTCCTTAAAGAATGTCAGGGTTACTGGCAACTGGCGCAGTAGATTAGGTCAGATGTGGTCAGACACGCATGGAATTGAATTGTTCAGTCGATGTTCCTTCTCGTCTTGTATTACGTGTTAGAATCTACTTCATGACAGTCGAGCAGCCCGCTTCTCACTGGTTATACGAAAATTATACTACGCGCATCTAATTTCGCAGGAGTAATGTATAAATAATCGTTCGAAGGTAAACAGCGTGTTCGTATAAAGTTCCTGTTCATATTGGAACAGTGAGGCAGCTCGTATTGGAACAAATATCGACCGAGCATC